GGGGGGGGGGGGGGGGGGGGGGGGGGGATGTGGTGCGCATAGTTAAAGTGGTTTCCAGTCTATGGATCATGGGTGGCAAGTTTTATACTAAGAAGAAGGTCTTTGGGTTTGCATATACATGGCACGACAAATTGCTGAAAATTGAGGGCTCCTCTAACCATCTCTAACCCATATGCAACACTGCTGATTATGGGCCTGGCTCCACCGCTCACCAGAAGTGCAAAATGAGAATAAGCCAGGCCCTATTTCCTTCTGCAGCTCTGCTGAGAAACTAACCTGCCTGCCTAATGGACGACACAAGGCTGGAGCAGCTGGGGCATTCTTGCGAAGTAAAACGACCTCGCATTGCAATCACCCCGGTAGTTGGAAATAAATAAATGACGCCGCTAAACTTCACTTTTCCTGAGAAGCATGCCATGATATGAGCAATTGAATTAGACATTTGATTGTGGAATTCACGGAATCTACAGATAGATCACACAAAGAGCTTCGCTCCACTGCTCACCACAGGCACAAAAGACAAAAAGTACGGCACTGTATGTTTCCCTGTTCCAGCAGAAGATTCATTCTCATTTTGAACATTTGGTGAGTAGTGGAGAGACGAACAAAAGGTCTAGAGGGAGCAATCAGAAAAAGAGTGGGGGGACATGCCATGCCAGTGAAAAGAATTCTACGTCCTAGAGGACTTTTTCTACTAAGCTCTGGACATGATTGCAGTCAGATGCATCCAAGGGCCGTACATTTAGGAAAGTATGGCATCCGCCATTCCTTTCAGTTCCCATTTCACAAAATGGACAGCTCATCAACCAAAGTTTCTTTGAAAGAAAAACAGGAAACAAAAAAAATCTCATTTCTGACAATATACCAGATATTCTTACATCCTTTTCGACAATGGCAGGCATTCCTCTCCCGCCTTTAGCTTACCCCGGCCTTTTCCTCCTCGTTCAATTCTCTGTGCAACCCCCCTCCCCAGCCCCTCCACAAACCCCTTTTCCTCCGCCAAAACACCTACCTATCCACCTCTCTACGGATCTCCCCAACTCGTATCCCCATTACCCCCCCACTCCCCCCCCACCCCCCCTTCCTCTAACCCCGGCCCGAAATGCCCTTGAAACTGCAGTTCATCTAAGAATAGAGAGCAACTTGCGCAGTACAGCAGCAGAGCAACAGCAGCGACAGACAGCAGTAGAACCAAAAGAAGAAGAAGCAAGAAGCAAGAAGAACCACCACCAAGAAGAAGAAGAAGAAGAAGAAGAAGAAGAAGAAGAAGAAGAAAAGGGAGAAGAAAAGGAAGAAGAAGCAGAAGATGGAGGAAGAAAAAGAAGAAGGAAAGGGAGAAGAAAAGGNGAAGAAAAGGGAGAAGAAAAGGAAGAAGAAGCAGAAGATGGAGGAAGAAAAAGAAGAAGGAAAGGGAGAAGAAAAGGAAGAAGAAGCAGAAGATGTGATGATGATGAAGGCAATTAAGGCGAACGAAGAAGAAATCAATCAAGGACCTCCAAGAATTGCATTCTCCAGGTCTTTTCGACTCAGAGCATAGCTGAACTTGCGCTCCACATCACGTGAAAGGCTTCCAGGCCCGCTTTTCAGATACCTGCAAGAACCAAAAAAAGATCCAGATAGCAAACCTGTCAGATGGCATTCATGTGCAACTCCATCCTGAAGACCGCAAAGTTTTCCTGGAAGCCTTCTGCGAGGAAAAGGAAATGTACGTGGTCCACATTTCAGCGGAATATCAGCCTTTCTCCCCAGGAGGAGAGGAGGAGAGGAGGAGAGGAGGAGAAGACGAGGTGGTTAAAAGTTCAGCTGGTCGGGACAGAGGTGGTGTACTACCATCTTCACCCGAATAGAACACCCAGTCATTATGTCTGTATTTGGTGCTACTTTAAGTCCAGATACGGCGATAATTACTGGGCATTCTATTCGGGTGAAGGCGGTAGGTTCCCTGCGGCTACCGTAGTCCGCTCTGCACAGCAAACGTTTTGCGTGGGAGCCTGAGACGAGGAGGAGAAAGAAGGAGAAAGGGGGAGAAAGGAGGAGAAAGGAGGAGAAAGAAAGAGGAGAGGAGAGGAGAAAGGAGGAAGAGGAAGGGAAAAGGAGGAGGAGGAGAGGAAGAGGAGGTGCAGGAGAAGGAGCAGGAGTAGGAGCAAGCGGAAGAAGAGGAAAAACGAAGAAACAGGAAAGAAGCAGGATTGGGAAAAACAGAAAGAAGATGAATGATGATGATGATGATGATGATGATGATGATGATGATGATGATGATGATGACAAGAAGACGAGCGTTTCAGAAAAGGAAGAGGAGGAGACTGCCATCCAACCCGATCTGGACTAAATGGCAGGAAGGGAGGGGGAGAGGGGGCGAATCCATCCACCCATCCGATCTCTGTTTCTACTAACTCTTCAAAATAACTCTCATATCGACGACCATCCATCCGATCTCCGTTCCTACTAACTCTTCAAAATAACTCTCATATCGACGACCCTCTGAGGCCGCAGTTTCATCGTGCCAAGCCCGAAACTTCGCCATAGGGCTGGGTTTCCAATGTTTTCAGGGGAGAGGAAATACAATATAGATAGATAGATAGATAGATAGATAGATAGATAGATAGATAGATAGATAGATAGATAGATAGACCCAAACAGAGCTGCCCGGAAAACGTAGGCAGAGCAGGAGAAGAGGACAACAAACTAGCGGCTGTGAAGGCTGTTTCGTCAGAGTGTAACACATATACTATATCCATATATTATAAACTAAGTTACTAAACTATATATTACATAATGTGTCTATCCACTATATCCATACATATATTATAACATTATAGAACATTGCAAGGAAAACGAGTGATAGCGAACTTCAGAAACCAAGCAGCATCATACACATGAGACCAGATAGTTGTGACCTCGAACCAAAGCAGAATTGCATCACAAGTCCCACCACATAAGAGCACAGCAAAAGCTCATAAGTGACAATGTCCTAATAGTCTCATCATCATCAACAAAGAACCAATGTCGACATCCCATCTGGCGCTCGGCGCCCAGACTACAAATGGCAGATCCTATCTAGCCTATCTACAATGCCGCTGATGACGTCAACAGCTCCCCGAAGTACGAGCAGATCTCG